GACGCATTTCTTGCCTGAAAAAGGCTTCATTCTAACTCACAGCAAATTTTTTATACTTTGGATATGACTTATGATCTTAATACTATAATTTGGCATTCTATGTACTGTTTGACTTGAAATTTATTTAGATTATTCTGAATATATTATTATTTATAATGTTTTGGTATTATATATAATATTATATCTTATTAACGATAACAATTATATATATTTTTATTTATATTTATATTATTATATTGTATATTGTATATGTATAATATAAATACTACATAAGATTGAAACATTAAAATAATAATCACTATAATAATTTTAAAAATTTAAGTTAACGACGCATATCTTGCCTGAAAAGGCTCCTTTCTAACTCAGCGAAAGTTTTTTACTTCAGATATGACGTATGATTTTAATACTATAAATATGCATAAAATACTAGCCTCATTTTTAGATTTATTATTTATTTAATATATAATTAAATATATTTATAAATAACACAATATATAATTTATTTATATTACACGTTTATATTTAAGATATAAGCATGTAAATGATTATATATATACACATATAAATCCTATAGAATATAATGATATAATAATACTACTCATATTACTATTCATAAAAAAATTAAGTAAAATGATTTTATATATAGCTCATATAATTACTATTATCTTTAGTTTTAGTTTGCAAGATTCCATATATTTCCATTATACTAAGCTACATTTCGTCATTCTATTCATATATTCCCTCGCAGAGACTTTTCATGACTAGATACCCCGACGCTGCGTCATCCCAGGGCCTGTGTTAGGCCTACATGCAACGTCCATCGAGGTGCGAGCAAGTTTGCATTAGCCATGCCATAGAGTAGAAGATAACGAAAATTGGGAGTCAATGTGAAGCCTGAGTGGGAGAATGGAAGTAGCTCTCGCTGACTGGCAAAGGCTGGTTTTGCAATTGTGAACTGAGGACCGCTGAAAAATGTTTCGATCAGTTCTAGTGTAGAAGGATACCGGTTTATTAGAACCCACCCAAGAGCGTTTTTTTCCACAATCTGTCCAATTCTCTTCCCATCAACTGATCAAGTCACTAGATTTCCAGTCGTCTGCAAGCATGGATGCAGCTTTCATCTGGAAGCTGTCTAAACTTGGCCGAATCGGCTCAAACCGAGTTCGCTTCGACGACGACTTTGCCGATCGTCTCAACTACCAGTACACAGGCGTGCTGCTCTTTCTGTTTATTGGTCTGATTGGGATCCGACAATACGTGGGTAATTCCAGCACATTTTGGCTCATACTCTACTCGTCCATTTTATTATGAATATTCCATTCTCCTGTATTTAATGTGGTAAAATTCGTGAAAACGACAAACTGGCATTTTTATCAGCTTCGAATTTACTTTGGCACCTCGTTGTCGCAACTTGGTCTTGTTGTCATGGAGACTATGTAGAACGCACCTAGTCCGAAGTTGACATGAGTCCCAGCAACTACTATGGCAGACGACTTCTACATAGTCTCCATGACAACAAGACCAAATTGCGATAACGAGGTCAACCCACTTCTATGCATTGAAAGGAGACTGCGACAAAATCTTGGTCTTTTTATATTCATTTGACTTTGGAATACTTGAGGAAAATAAAATATTTAACTTTTTGTCCAGTACAATACCAGACTATATAATTT